CTCCCATGCTCCTACATCTACTTCTACTAATTCCAACATCAATCTTACTGCTGTGCTGGACCCAAAAGCTATTGCAATGAATACAAAGACTTCTCAGAACCATAAACAGGGATATGGGATTTATTAGAAAAATTATCAGGAAATAATTCCAGTTGCAGCAGGATACAATCCCCCCATCCAGATGGCTTCTCAAGTGTGGTCACAGGCCCTTCAGCCTTCGGGACCCACAGCTTAGGTCAGTATTACAAAGTTCCATTAGTTTTGCCAGTTATGACATCTTCCCTCAGCCCTCCAGTGAGCTTGAGTGAAGGCTCTGGCTCTGGTTCCATGGGCAGCAATCCCAAATTAGCTCCGTCTCATGTAGGTTTCTGGTTCTCTGCTGAAGCAGCTGCTCCTCTTGTGCAGATCCTGGTCTGGTGGGTGCAGGAAAGTCTGGCCCCAAAGAATGCACGGTGCTTCCTCTTCCTTGTTGGTATAGAGAGTCCCAGTTTCTGCGACTGGCCGATCCTCTTGTGGACAGATTAACACACCCTATTTTTATGACCCCCCTCATCCATGTGGCAAAGTGAAAGTCAATGACTAGGAAAGCCATTTTGAACAACAAACCCTTGATACCACAGTTCAAATTTATGGAGTTTTAAAAAAAACAAAAACCCAACACAAAACTTACCATGAATAAATTCTTCATTATACAAAGTTATCCCCAGCCTCATTTCTGTTACCAAAGCCATATTTTCCAACTACTAGTCCTTCTTTGTTTTCAACTTTTGCATTCCAGTCACCAGTAATAATGAATGCATCTTGACTGTAGGTTTGATCAGTTTCAGATTACAAAAGTTAGTAGGAATCTTCAATCTTTTTAATATCCAAAATTCTGTTTATTGAGATAATTTCATCTTGATTTTTTTTCTTAATGCTGTTTCCATCTGAAGGAGCATCCATCCTTCTGTAATCCTTGCTTTTCCTCCTGTAGGCGGACCGAGAACAGTGGAGCAGCCAACACACAAAACTACTGTTTGTGCATGGCTGAAGACTGTGGGGATTTTATAGCATCCTGTACATTTCACAGCCATGAAATAGGAATTCGGGCTCTGCACCAGGCGCTTCTTCTTGTGCTTCCTCTTCTCCTGTTTTGGAGGGGGATGAAGGAGATCCTTTGCAAAAGGCATGTTGGCATGCAGAGGGCACAGCTGGAAAGGCAGAAATCTTCAATTTTTTAATCTTTGGCTTTAGTTGTTGGAGCATATATTTGAATAATGGTTGTGTTAACAGGACTTCCTTGTGTGTATATTGATAGTATTTTACAGTATTGTATTCCAGGACAGATCTTGAAATGCTCTTTTTGGTGATGAATGCCACATCACTCTTCAATTTGTCATTTCTCCATAGTTGATCACGTGATTGTCTGATTCAGAATGGGCAGTCCCATCCATATTATCATTCATGCATGTTGCTCTTCATGTGTTACATTTAATTTTTGACAACTTCCAATATCCCTAGATCCATGCTTTTTACAAGGAGCTCTGGTGGCCTAGTGGCAAGGAGCTGTGCCGCCAACCCAAAGCAGGAAGGTTTGAATCCACCAGCTGCTCTGTGGGAGAAAGATGGGCAGTCTCCTCCCATGTAATTTACTACTTTTAAAAACCAGCTGGAGGGTCAGCTGTGAGTTGTTTCTGACTTCACAGTACATAACATGCTTTTTACATTCAATGTTCCAATTACTAATGGATCTTTGCAGCTGTTTGTTCTTGGTGCCTAATTGGAGGAAGACTCATCAACAACCTGCTTTATGCAGATGACACAGCCTTGTTTGCTGAGACTGAGGAAGGCTTGAAGAATTTGCTGCAAAAGATCAAGGACTGCAATCTCTAATGTGGATTGAAGCTCAACATCAAGAAAACAAAGATTCTCACCACTGGGCCAATTGGCAGCATCATGACAGATGGAGAAGAGATTAAGATTGTTAACAATTTCAGCCTGCTTGGTTCCACAATCAACACTCTTGGCACTAGCAGTCAGGAAATCAAAAGACTACTTGGATTAGGAAAGTCAGCTGTCAGGGATCTCTCCAGAGTACTGAAGAGAAGGATGTCAGTCTGAGACTAAGAAGTGCCTGGTCCAGGCCATGGTCTTTGCACTTACTTACTATACATCAGAGAGCTGGACAATGACTAAGGATGACAGAAAAAGAATTGATGCCTTTGAGTTGTGGTGCTTGAGAAGAGTATTGAACATATGATGGACTGCTATGAGAACAAACATGTCTGTCCTGGAGAGGGTGAAATAAGTTGTTCCTTGGAGGCAAGGATTTTTAATCTCTATCTTATATACTTTGGACATGTTGCCCAAAGGACCAGTCCTTGGAGCTTGGAGAAGAATGTTATATTTAGAAGGGTGGAAGGATGCTGCAGGAGAGGAAGACCCTGGATGAAATGGGTTGACACAGTGACTAACATAATCAGGGAAGCTGTGTCAGAGACAATGAAATTGGCTCAGGATCAGCCAGGGGGCCAGCGTTCCGAGCTATTGTGCATAGGGTTGCTCTGAGTCACAAGGAACTCAACAGCCCAAAGCAACAGTTCAGGCCATGGTCTTCTTAATCACTTGTTTCACATCAGAGAGCTAAGTAGTGAATAAGGATGACAGAAGAAGAATACATGCCTTTGAGTTGTGGTGCTGGAGAAGAGCACTGAATATCCCATGGATAGCCAAAAGCATGAACAGATAAGTCCTGGAAGGAGTGTGATCTAGGTGCTGCTTGGAGGCAAGGCTGACGAAGCTTCATCCTTGGACACGCAGCTTGGCAAAGCTATTCCTTGGAAAGGGACATCATGCTTGGAGAGATGAAGGGTCAGCGAAGGAGAGGAAGACACCCCTCCCCACCCGAGATGGATTGACCCTGTGATTTTAGCAATGGCCTCTAATGTCTCAGAGATGATGAGGATGGCACAGGATAGGGCAAGGTTCAGGTTGGTTATTCATAGGGTCTCTTTGAGTCATAATCAACTTGACGGCACCTAACAACAACATATCCAACTGTGTTCTTGCATTGTCCATAGAGTTTAATGAAGGCATATTATTTCAGAAGCAATGGCCAGTCTTACGTCTTATTCTACCTTAGTCTGGAAGCTACACTGGAACCTGTCTACAGTGGCTGATCCTGCTTGTGTTTGCAATAGCAGTGGGATGGTCTTCAGCCTCACAGCAAATACAAGCCACCACAGTACAGATAATTGACAGGCAATTGATAGACTTCGTGTTTCCAGGTGAGGACACAGAGGTCAGAGACTCAGAAATGGCAAGTCAGTTGTTCAAGGTCCAAATGCAGTGCCCTTTCCTGGACGCCTGTCTCAAGAGTCGTCACAGCCTGAGGCCTGGCTTCAAGGCTCAGTTTTGGCTCATGCCCAAACAGGGCCCTGACTAGGGACTGTCTGCAGGGCAGACCCATCACCAAGAAGTCACAGTGTTAGGGTGCTGGTTTTGCCTCTGGATGTCCCTCCTGAGCACTGAGTCCTCTGCCTTCTGCCCCTGCTCTGACTGTGTCCAGGGTGAAGACCCAAGGGGGAGAGGGTCTCTCAGGCACAGCAGGGAGAGAGTAAAGGGTGAATACTACTGTCTCCTCATCCTGGGGCCTGAGGGCCTGAGGCTCTGGGCCATTCACACACCTCCCCAGCTCTAAGAACACATAGGCCTGGCCAGTATGGTCCCTGCCCTGACATTGCTCATAGCACAATAGGGACAGAGGGGATTCGGTGTGACAAGTGTGTGAGAGTGTGACAGGGTGGCTAAATGGTTAAAACATGTGGCTGCTAACCAAAAGATCAGTAGTTCAAATCTACTAGCCACTCTGTGGGAGATAAGTGTGAGAATCTACTTCCTTAAAGATGAGGAGTCTTGGGGAATCCTGTGGGCAGCTCTGCTGGGCCCTGTAGCATGACTAGGAGCTGGGAGTGAGTCCTCATGGGACAGTGGTTACACACTCGGCTGCTAGCTGAAAGTTTGGCTCCAGCAGCTCCATGGGGGAAAAGACCTAGCGATCAACTCCTGTAGAGGTAAAGCCTCCCCGGCTGTGGTCTCGGTCAACCATGGGTGGGAAGGACAAAAGTACAATAAAAGGCTGTTGACAATCCTTACATCCTCACAATAAAAGTTGTCATGAAAATAATGTTAAATTTCCGCAAATGACAACTGTTGTTGTTGTTGTGTACCAACCATTGGGTCGGAACTGACCCATAACTGATCCTCCGGTGGGTTCTCAGAGGCGGATAATTGCACGAGAAGAGATCGCCCATCCTCCTTCTCCCACAGAACAGCTGGTGGACTCGAACCGCATGCCTTTGGGATTGCAGTGCAGCTTCTTGTCACTAGGCCACCAGGGCTCCCGAAATGACAACTAGAATAATAAATAAAAATCGCAGCCCTGAGAAACCCTCAGAGGCAGTTCTAACCTGTGCTATAAAATCACTGTACATCAAAATCAACTTGGTCGTACGCAGCAAAGGGGGGCGGAATTCTCCCAGCCTTCCAAGGGTCAGTTCCCTGGGGTTGATGCACTTCCTGTACAACCATCACTTATCCATCAGACTAGGAAGAAAGACCTGGGCCACTATTTCTAAGCATCAGCCAAGGAAAAAACCCTGTAAGCGCAATGTTCTGATTGTGCTCGGGGTCACCATGAGTCAAGGTCAGCTCAGGTCAATATCAAAGCGTGAGGTCAGAGAGCACTGGAGAAAGTTAGGAGTTCCCAGCCCAACCTGAGGGTTAGGAAGGCTTCCTGGAGGAGGTGACACCTGAACTGAGACCTGCAGGTCTAGCACAAGTACATAACAGGATGGGATCTGTGGCAACCTGGAGGAGGGACCTCCTATCTGAACATGCCTGCCCTCCCTGCCTGGCCCTTGAGCTGCCAAACTTGGTGCAGAAAACAAGGGGCTGGGGCTGAAGCCATGTAGCCCCAGAACTAGCATGTGCATTGACCAGTGCCCCCTGGACCTCGGCAGGTACAGTTGGTCCAGGACCCAGCGACTGGAGGGACTTTCGTGGTGAAGGCAGGTGCCGCCCCGCTCTGGCCATTCTGAATTCCACTTGCAGCTTCCTCAGAGCTCCTGGAACCTTCTGGAGAAATCCACATCAGAACCTGCATCTGAAGCCCATGGCTGCCTCCAAGTCCAAAGCTGGATGATGCCCCCTAAGCATGCCTGCTGCCTCCCTGCCCGACTCCCACTGGGCTTCCTCACCCTTTCCTAGAAGGGTGGCAGGGCCGAGGGTCCTAGGAGAGGGGCTCAGGACCCATGTTAGGAAGTGGGGGTACAATTGCTCCTCAGGGTGGCTCCCCCCCTGAAGCCCAGGCTGGTATGTTCTCTAGCACTGATTCACCTGTCCTGCCCCTTCCACAGAGCCTGCCCAGGTGCCACGTGGCAAGCCAGGAGCGACTGACCATCATCCCACACGGCGTCCCCTACATGACCAAGCTGCTGCGGTACTTCATGAGTGAGGACTCCATCTTCCTTCACCTGGAGTATGTGACCGGTGAGGGGCCTGAGGGCCATTGTCCCCACTTAAAACTGAGCCTTGAGTGTGGGCACAGCTCACACCAGATGTGAAGTATAGATAGATGAGGCTTCCTTGAGGATGACGAGTTGTGGTGAGGGCTGGGGGGCTGGGAGAGGCCAAGAGGCCAAAGACATCCCAGGGACATGTTTGCACATGTGCCTTTTGTCATCCTTTCCTCCGCCCTCGGTTTGTTTCTTTTGTCCTGTTTTCACTCTCCTGGTGGGAACATGCAGTGATGGGGACTGAGCTGTGATGTGCACCACTGGAACTGGCTTGTGTACCACTAGCTACTGAGCATGCATGATGGAGCCGCCTGGTGGTGCAAAGAGTTACTGTGCTTGGCTGAAGATTGGAGCCTACCCAGAGGTGCCTAAGAAGAAAGGGCTGGCAATCTACTTCTGAAAAACCAGCCACTGAAATCCCAATGGAGCACAAGGCTACTCAGATACACGTGGGCTTGACACAAGTCAGTGTTGCTTTCACCAAACTAGTTTTTTGGTTTGAGCCTCGCATGGCAGCTGGCATATAGCAAGTGCTCAATAAATTCTAGCTGAACAGAGGAGGGTGAGCGAAAAGGCATGGCCAGGAAGGAGAACACCTTAAGGCTGGTCCATGGAGCAGTGCTGTATCATTCCATTCTGGGTAGACTTCACAGGGACCCTGCCACCATCTCTCCCTCACTATGATCTTCTCTCCTATCCCTAAGTGAAAGTGATGAAAAACTCAGGCAGTACAACAGTTAAGTGCTCTGCTGTTAACAAGAGGTTGATGGTTCAAATCCAACAAGTAGCTCTGAGAGAGAAAGACCAAATGGGCTGCTCCTATTAAAAGTGCTGTCAAGTTGCTTCTGATTCATAATGACCCTGTGGACATTAAAATAAAAAACTGCCGGCCCCTTTCCATTCTCTCAATCAGATAGTTGTCTGTAAGGACTGCTATTGTTAGGTGCAATTGAGTCAACTATGACTTGAAGCAACCCAATGAACCAACACATTGAAATCGTGCCCATAAGGAGCACAGCCCAGAACATCCTGTAGAGAATTCCTACCCTATTCCTTGGAGAAGGACATCATGCTTGGGAAGGTGGAGGGATGGGGAAAGAGAGGAAGATCTTCAACCAGGAGGATTGACACAGTGACTCCAGCAGTGGGCTTGAGTGTGTCAGAGATTGTGCAGATGGCTCAGGAGAGGACAAAGTTCAGATCTATTGTCATAGGATGGAGTTTTGTTCATACCTTGAGTCATACTCGATGACACCTAATAGCAACAACCCTGCCACATGGGGGTCACTAAGAGTAGAAATGACAGCACCCAACAAGGAAGCTCTAGTGATGTAGGTCGTAAGGAGGTGCACTGCCAACTCTGAGGCCATGTCTCTCTGGTGGTTCAAAACCACCGGCAGCTCCAGGGAAGAAAGACGGGCATTCTCCTTCCTCCCTTGTCATTTACAGCCTCAGAAAAAGTCACTGCAGTTGGGTTTGGGGGTGGTTTGTTTTTAACAAGTGGAGAGGAGGGCAAGCTAGGCCAGGACACTTGCAAGCCCTAAGGTAGAGTCCTGGAGACAGAGGTAAGAGACGCTGTGTCCATGCTCCTCCTCTCCCCTGTCCCCACGCCCATGCGCAGGAGGAACGCTCTGGTCCCAGCTGCTCTCCCAGTGCCGTCCACAGTCTGCCCCGAAATCCGGCTCTTCCAGGGAGGGGACGAAGACTCCACTCCACACGCGCTTCAGCCTCCCGAGCCCAGCACTGCGCCCCCTGGGAGGCCAGCGTCAACCAAAGGACAGAGCGGCCCTGCAGTCCCCCAGGACTGCTCAAAGTCTCCCCCCAGCCAGAGAAGGCCCACCCATCAGACTGCAGAGGGAGGCTGACATCAGACCCACAGCCCAGACCAGCACTTCCTGCTCCTCGGACTTGCCCAAGGCCTTGAGTGGCCGCTGGCACATCCAAGCCAGGCGGGAACCTGGCCAGAGCTCGGACACGAAGCCCCCGCAGGGACTCTCTTGGGTTCGGGAAGGGGCTGGCCGGGTGCTGGGGGGCTGCAGCCGTGGCAGAGTTCTGAGCCGCCCATGGGTGGATGGGGCTAGTCTGGGGTCTGACGGGGGTGCCTGGAGGGTGAGAGAGGAGCAGGTGAAGCAGTGGGCGGCGGAGCTGCTGGTGGCACTGGAGGCGCTGCACGAGCAGGGGGTGCTATGCCGGGACCTGAACCCCCGGAACCTGCTCCTGGACCAGGCAGGTGGGTGCCTGGGGTTGGGCAGGGCTGGAAGTAGCTGTCTCACCCTACCACACCCCTCAGCCAAAGAGGCCTCAGAGGTTGTCTGCTCCCCCGCCCCCCCACAACCCCGTCCCATCCAGCCATTGATACATGGTTCTAGCCCAGAGGCTGCTTGGCCCAGGTTCAGCTTGTAGAATGGGTCCTTTTGTCCCCATGAATCAAGTAACCCTTAGGAATTTCCCTTGGGAACATGTATGTCCACAGGATGGGGGTCCAGCCTTGCGACTGGGTGTGGGAGCCCTGGAACCCTGTTCCCCATGCCAGCAGCTCAGCACTGACTGACCTCTGTTTTTGTTTGCACTGGATGAAAAGGTCACATCCGGCTCACATATTTTGGTCAGTGGTCAGAAGTGGAGCCCCAATGCTGCCTGGAAGCCTCGGACAACCTGTACAGCGCCCCAGGCAAGATGAGGGAGGGGGAGCTAGAGTGGCCCCTGGACTGTGACAGAGGGATGAACACATGGCTGGGCAGGGTGTAGACCAGAGACCACCCTCTTGGTGGACGCTTTCACACATACAGGTGTGTTCTTGTCCCCACAGAGGTGGGTGGGATTTCTGAGCTGACAGAAGCCTGTGATTGGTGGAGCTTCGGGTCTCTGTTGTATGAACTGCTGACCGGAACGGTAAGTGACTGGGCGGCCCTCCTGCACTGCCACACCCTCTGGTCATGGGACACAGTATGTCACCCCACCCTGACCATGTAAATGTGCAATACAGTACCAGGCACCCCAGAACACTCTCTCTCTCTCTCTCTCTCTCTCTCTCTCTCTCTCACACACACACACACACACAC